TCTGTGGTTGGTATGTAAAATGATTAAATTTCTTAATAAAAGAGACCTGAGAATGAATTAGAAACAATAAAGAAAACACAAACTGAGGGAATTCTGGAAAAGGAAAATCTAGGTAAGAAAACAGGAACTACACACATCAGCATCACCAACATAATATAAGAGATGGAATAGAGAACCTGAGGCATTGAGATATGAGAGAAAAATAAATAAAATTATCAAATGTTAGATCCTAACACGTATGCACTGTAGTGAATCACAGCGCAATTTCATGCATAATTTCTCCCCAGAGCTTAGAGTGGGGGCAGAATTAGCTAAGAACACTTGTGAAAACCATCTCCTACACTGATTACAACATATTTGAAAATTAATAAATGAGGGCTTATCTTCTAAACATCTAGAGCATTAATGACTAAGGGCTGATATGTATTCAGTATTAGGATGGACTGATGATATTTGAGTGCTATGTAATATAATCACTGATTTTCATTGATAAATTGTTTCTTCCACTTAATTGGCTTTGCATTAAAGATAAAAAACAACACCTACATGTACTTCCTCAGAAATAAAAATGTTCAAAAATCTTTCCATTTGGTGATTATTTCTTAATACACTAGACTTGCAAATCTTAGAGACTCTTAAGCACTATGACATTGATGACAACAAATATCATCCAATAGGAGAAACACTACCTTCATGAAGCTAATATCAGGTTTTTTCCTATTGGCTGATTATCTTCTTGCTGACAAAGCATCTCATGCAGAGCAAGGGACACAGCATACACAGAATTGTATACGTCATAATTTCCATCACCAATGGCCATGTCAATAGTCATTTGCCATTCCAACGAGGCATTGGATAAGAAGTTTTTCAGTGTCTTACACTTAGATGCCAACAGTTCACAGTTAAATTTTATTCCCCAGCCTTGCCAGGTATTCATCTGAGTATTTGAGATGGGTCAATGTCCAGACAAAAAATTGAAACCAGAAATCGAAGGATGGTTTTGTGCAAAAGCTAGAGTCCCAAGGGATGAGTCAAGTGTGAATCTTCTCTTACTTGTAGTGACATCCCACTGTGAGGTGGTGACTCATATTCTCTGTATACCTAAAGAGTCCCACATACAAAAGCTCAAAGCTAGAATACTGTTTGTGTCACCATAAATAATTACTACATTCATGGATGGTGTCATGATTTGGTTATAATACACCAGCTTTTGATATGCTGCCCGGGATCATGCTCACAAAGGTGAAGCAGACTGTATTTTTTCCATGTCTCTTCTCAAATGTGAAAGAAATTGTATAGCCTGATCATTGTCTAAGATAGACAGCCCAGTTCTGTTCAGGTTGAAGTGAAGCATCAAATAGATTATGGCCAGGGGTAGAGATGTGTCTTAGGGGGCCATCGGATACAGATATGGAAATTGATCATGATCACACAGGATAGGATGGAAGGGTCAATAAGTAATCTAAATGAACTAGGACACAGGCAGTATCATGAGGTATCATGCACTCCTCAAAACTTATAAACACCGGTAAACACTGTTCTGCTAAGTATTCTAGAAAATCTCCTTCCTTGTTACTTCTTCCTTCATCTTGTTTCACACAAGGAAATGTGGAAGTCCCATCAAGTCTCTGAATAGTATGCATGAACTACACAGATTGACATAAGTGTGAGGCCAGTCTCCTCCTCACACTCTTATTAGAATCTGGGAATGGTACCAGTAGATTCAGGATTTCCTGCAAAATCACCCTCAAAAAACACATCTGCTGGGATTGGTAGAGGTCCAAGAATGTCCCAGTGATGACAGATGCTGCCCAATAAGTTCATAAAGTTCATGAGAGTGCATCTCCTATAAAAAAGATGGGACATTGCATTTTCCACAGAGAGGGCTGTGTCCTCTGTTTTTTTGTTAGTTTGCTCAGAAGGTAAATACTAGGGCACAGTACTTGACCAAACAAGAAACCTAATCTTGAATTCCATTTGAAATTATAGCATATGACATGTGATGCATGAGCCAAGTTTCTGGTAATTTTTATGAAACAAACTGAATTGGATAAGGTTTTCAAAGAATGACTGGTGAGTGCATAGTAATCTTTCTGGAGCAACTTTTGGCTCCTATATTTATAATTCATTATAATTAGTGGGCAATGTAGTTAACATATTCTTTCATATGCATCCTCATCTTGTTCTTTTTTCTTTCTGATGTGTCTATTACAGGCACAAAATGTTTTTTAAAAGATTTATTTTTAAATAAAATTAAATAACAGAGTATATTTGGTCAATATATGCATCTGTGTATGGACATGAGAACTACTCCTTTATGCCATAAAAGGATAAAGGATTCCATGATTTTGAATGACACTTGGCTTTAGACTGCACTGGCTTCAAATACACAGTAATACTCCTACTCCATTTCCTGAATGCAGAGATTAAGGTCATGTACCACAATATTGGTCATCTATTTTATGTTTACAGAGGTGTGTTCAATGTACTCCCACTTGGTATATCTGACCAACATAAAATTTTCCTACACAAAGCACCTTTTGTGTACATTTCCACATTATTATGCACAACATTAGCATATTACTGAGAACTGGGAACATCTGGAAATTGCACTGAGATTTGTTTGTGCCAATATTACATGTTTGTATAATAAAAGATTATAAAGTGTACAATGTGTGGGAAATGTTTATGAGTTTTGAAAATAAAAATAGTCTAAAAGTTAGTAGGAATAGAAAAATACCATTTTCTGTTTATGTGTATCGGTAGAATAATAACTCCCATATCTGCTTACTCACTTCATATTATCTGACCAATAATCACCAAACTCAAACATACTCTTTCATTCTGAATAATTCACTCAGAGTTAAATACAATCTATGTTCCACTTAGAGTTGTACCACTGTGGTATATTTATGAATAAATACAAATGTTTATCTATGCATTTTTAAAATAAAAAACATCTTAGAATATTCTTTATTACCACATGGAAAAATGGCATTGAAATTTTCAGTACCAGTCATTACAGAATTTGAGAGTATAACTTAGGAATCTCAAACAACTCCTGCACACTAAACAATATGAAACATTAATGACTTGAGCTGTAACTGTTGCCTACTGGACTAAAGTGCTATGTTTGAAAACAACTATCAATAATATACAAAATCAAAAGGTAAATTATATCCAAATTGGTAAAATATGCAGCTATAACTGGTAAAATTACAGAAAGAGAAACACAAGAGGTAAATACAAGTGTCAGAGAATAAACACATTAGACACAAAGAGAAGAAACGCATGTTTCTTAAATAATGTTAGAGATGTACTTGTACGTAACTATTTTCAAGTGTAGCCAAGTATCACATGCCACAGCTGTCACTCAGGCAAGTGACAATGAAAGTAAGAAGTCATATGAGGGAAGAGGGGGATCTGTGTTTAGTATGAAAAGTGAATAAAAAATTTCTTAATTAATAAAAAGAAAGTAAGCAGTCACCACTATTAGTTGCAGCCTCACATTTCAAAGAATGCAAACATGTCATTTATCGTCCACACACTCTTTCTGTAGCCTATAAAGAGAGTGAAGAACTAGACTGTGAAATTAAAGGTCAATTGTTACACATGTCTATAAGTGAAGCATAGGGAAACAAGAACACATGTGAAGTTCACAGTGGACAGGTCTCCACTTTTGTTCTTGATGCAGCTTTAGAAAGCACTATGTGACTGCGTGAAGAACATCTGAGAGAGGAACTGAATAGCTATGTAAAAATTCTCTGCAGCTAGGGTGGCCAAAAATATTACAAATATTAGTTGTCCTATCACATGCATTAGGAGTGACATAGTGATCAAAGGGTCATCACACACTCATTTGACAGTCATTTCATTACACTCATTTAGAATGATACTCCTTGAATAGTGTGGGGTTTCTTTCAGTGAGACATCACCAGCTACTGTGCTGTGGAAACTGTCAAGAGGAGCTCTATATGTGATGGACAAGATACAGAGTCCTTTTTCACTCAGCTTCCAGCCTAATAAGTAGGAGGCTAACAGGAAGATAACAAACCAGTCTTTGGACAAATTAAAAGTAGAATAAATAGCATTGAGTCTCTAAAAGAATCTGGAGTTGTTTCTTGGTGTGCAGATTAGGTAACAGGACAAAAGACTCAAAGCAATGCTCTGACTCTCATCTTCCTACACACCTACTTCACACATTTACATAGAAGATACGAAAAAACTTACTGTGTATTCAGAATGTAGTTGAAATAATCTTTCTCAATATGCTCCTTCAAAACCCTAAGGAAGAAGATACAACCTGCCAACAGGTCTCCATCCTTGAATTTATTCTGCTTCATTCTCCAAAAGCACCTGGGATGAATGAAACTGGCAACAAGAAGTGGAATGTTCAGGAGGAAGAACAGAAAAATCAAAGTGAACATCTTTGTCTTATTTGACACCTGGGCAGTGTGCATTGTGAAGTGCTATTCAGATCAACACAGGATATGGGCACCCATGTATTTCCCTTGCTTTGTACCTATGACCAAAGGAGAGACTGCTTGTGAATTCATGTTTTCCTTTTTTTCAGATGGTCCCATCCCTCTGGAGAATCTTGGACACTCTCTTCCCTGGGGCACTGCAGCTGATTTCCATGTGATTAAATTTGGTTGATAAATATATGATGAGAGTTTAGCTAGTTTCATGATATCACTCATAGTTGTAGAAATTAAGGCTCTTTGGAGGATGCCAGTTTGGGAAAATTTGGTCTCAGAACTGCCTGAATAATCTATGTATGTTAATGCCTTTAGAAATGATGTCAGTAGATTTTATTGCATGATCCGCATTGAGACCTGCAGTGATGGTTCAGGAGGGATTCACAGTCAGAATTCATGGTTACATACTGGGAATTGTATCACACAGTCTCTGGTAGGCAAAAGCAGCTTGATGTTTATAGCAATTGAGTTACACAAAGCATGAACAGGACCTACACCTGTGACAGTGAATGTCTAACCAAATCCTGTGCTTCCACTGTGTTGAGAAACAATCAGACCAAATTCCAAAATTTCCCTAGTCCTGCCATTTTAATACTATCAAGCTAAACATAGAGACACTGTTACATTTATAGCATTACAAAAATGTTTTTAAATATTCAAAAAGATCCATAGAGATCTTCTGCCCTACCCTTCAAACACTAAATAAGATCTCTCATTTCTCCTCTACACCAATCATAATTAATGTGTAGATAAGTTGAATATTTGATTTCTAAAACATCATCTTTTTCCCCAAGCCTCAGTTTCATAGATCAATTTCTTGTGTTGACTCATTTCTTCTGCTTTATATTTGATTCCCTACATTGTTTTAGTTCATTTTACAATCTAGAAAATGCTGTGAAGAAGACTTTTTTGAGTATCTTAGAAGCAAATAACAAATGGGAAGTGGCCCGGTGTTTAATGTGTAAATTGTTCTTATAACATTTTCCTAGTTTTCTATTATTGTTTGCATTCCAGAACTTGCACTGCCAGTGTGAGAGCATTCTGATGAGTGTGGGCTGATCATCCTTCAGTGGATATGGACGACAGAGAAAGCAGAACAAAAGTAGGGCACTTCTTTGCTGTGGTTACTGATGTGTCTTATTTAGTATTTGAGATGATGCACACATGGCTATTGTTCTTATCTGGATCTTATTTTTTATTGAATAGTAAACATTTAAAGAGTGCATGACCTCTAGTTTTGTGATGAGCTATCCTGGGAGTCTAAATTGTGGAAATAGAGGAATGTGACAGGAAGAGTCTTTCATAGGAAGACAGAGAAATATCACCTTTTATGAAGAGTGCAAATAAAAATTCCAGTAGTCCAGTTTGGGCATGGTATCCAGCTTTGTTTTATGTGTATAATTATTTCTTTTTTATTTAATATACTTTATTCTGGCAATTCATACATGTATCATGTGTCCTTTGGTGGTATTTTCTCTACTCTTGCCCACATCTACTGCTCAACTTCCTACTCATTTCATTCCTCTGTCTAAGCAGTTTCTTTCTAACTTTCTTATGTTTGTGTTTGTATGTGTGCATGTAAAATTAATGAGACAGTGTGATATTTTCTTTATATTGGTTTCACATGGGAACCCATCCTTAGATCCTTAGGCCTTAAATTCTCAAATAATGCATGTGGTGATATTCTATTTATGCTGAAATGTGATTTTATTTGTATGTTAATAAATAAAGTTGCCTGAGGGTCAGAGCTAATAGCAAGCCATTTAGCAGAAGTCTGGCAGTGGTAGGACAAGCCCTTAATCCAATCACATGGCAGGCAAAATCTCTGTGGGTTCAAGGACACAGCCAGCATAGTGATACACGCCTTTAATGCCAGTACCAACCAGAGAAATCTGGAGGTCTGTGTAGACAGGCAGTAATGAAGAAGTCATGTGGTTGAGTTAAAACCAATGAGAAGGCAGAACGGAAAGGCAATAAAAAGGCAGGTCACACAGGAAAAGGTCTCTCTCTCAGAGGAAGAATGGCAGCAACTGGTAAGCTAAAGGCTATTCACTAGTGCTCTGACCTCTTGGGCTTTTAACTATTTATTTGGCTCTGTGTTTCTTATTTAATAATACTGTTTAGAATTACATCTACATAATACCTCTCCTACTTTTTTGTGTAAAATGTTTGCATACATGCACACACAAAAAAAACATGCACAAGCACACACAAACTCACAATCACATACACATAAACACATAGACACATAGATACACACAAATATATCTAGAATCTGTGAAAAGTCTGAATTTCCAGAGTCTGTTTAGATAACATGGATAACCTACTAATTTTCCCCCAATACTTGCTAATGACCTCATTTAATTCTTCCAGGCTGCAGAAACCTTCATTATATGTAAATAAACATGGTGAGGATTTCCTCTGAATTATAATATGTCTAAGAGAAGTCAGGACTCAGTTAATCTTATTAGTTTAACTTCATCTTTGCTTCCAATCATTATGAATTACATAGAATCAATTTGTCTACATTTCTCTAAAATCCATGTATACGGTTCAGTTAAAAATCACTGTATATATATTTAAGTGTGGTAATTCATGATACCAAACTTTCAAAATTCTAATAATGCATGGCAAATAACAATAGTGGATCTTTGTACATTTGAAAATAAAATCACAAAATTTTAGCTGAAATCTTTTCTTTATTTCTTCATCTTTTTAGAGTCATTGTGACTGATTCCATATCTAGCATATTCTGAATAACAGTGAAATAAACCTGCCTAGACAAATATATATGTGCTATGCTGACTCATTTGCTTTCAGAAGGTTTCATGAAAGGTATGGATGGACCATAAGATATTCCTACATTTACTAACTGAAGTAGCTATATGTGCTTACCACAGTGGAGCCCTAGGATTCAATTCACACTAGAAATATTCACTGTTATTCCCAAAACTCCTACATGCTCATTCATTTATTAGAGGTCAGATTTTAGTCACCAATTATCACAGTGATAGGAAACTCCCATCTTCACTATGGTTTTCCCTTTATATAGCTAAAACAATTGAGTGTATTTTTATCCTCATGTTGTCTTTCACAATTTGAAAAAAGTTAAAGTTAAAATCTAACACTGGTTATGAAGAAGTCAGCATTTCTAATATTTTAATGTTGGCCATGGACTTTCTTTAAATTGCATCCATCACATTGAGGTATGTCCCATTTATCCCTAATTGTCTCCATGACTTTTACAAATAAGTGGTGGTGTATTCTTTCAAAGGCTTTTCTTCATGTCACGGGATGATCATGTTATCTCCTTTTTTTCAGTTTGTTTATGTGATAGATTATGTTAGTTGGTTTCTTGTATTGAACCATCCCTCCATCTCTGTGAAGAGGCTGACTTGTTCATGTTGGATGATATTTTTGATGCATTATTGGATTTGGTTTGCAAGTATTTTATTGAGTATTTTTGCATCAACTTTCATAAGGGAAATTGGACTATAATTGTCTTTTTTGTTCAATATTTAGGAGATCTGCATATCAAGGTAACTGCCTCATGAAATGAATTGAGCATATTCCTTCTATCTCTGCTTTGTGGAGTAAATGTTTGAGTATTGGTGATGGCTCTTCTTTGAAAGTCTGCAATAATATTTTATGACCCAGGGCATTTTTTTGGTTGGGAAACATTTAATGACAGCTTCTATTTTACTAGGGATTGTAGGTCTATTTAAATTGTGTATATGATCTTGAGTCGACTTTTGTAGAAGATACATATTGAGAAAAATATCTGTTTATTTTAGATTTTCCAGTTTGGTGGAGTACAGTTTTTAAAAGTATTTTCTTATGGTTCTCTGGATTTCCTCTTCCCCTTTTAGTCTGTTCTCTTCTCCTTTTAGTTTCTGAATTTATTTCATCTCTATTTTGTTTCTGTGTCTTTTATCTAGTGTGGATAGTGATTTGTTTATCTTGTTGATTTTCACAAAGAACCAGCTCTTTGATTCTTTTTTTTCTATGTATAGAGCACTTTGTTTCTATTTTATTGACTTCAACCCTGAGATTGATTAAATTTTTGTATCTACTCCTCTTGGGTTACATTGTTTCATTTTGTTATTGTTCTAGAGCTTCCAGGTGTGCTGTATTGTTATTAGTTCAAGCAAGATCCCTCCAACATTTTTATGTAGGCACTTAGTGATATGAACTTGCCTCTTGGAGCCACTTCTCTTCATATCCCACAAGTTTGGGTATGTTGTATATTCATCTTGATAGACTTCTAGGATGTCATTTTTTTTCTGTCTCAGCCTATTTTTCATTCACTACGGAATACTCCAGTTTGCATGACTTTGTAAGATTTTGTTGTCGCTGTTGTTGTTTGTATCCAACTTTAATTCATGATGGCCTGATATGATGTAGGAATTTATTTCAGTTTTCATGTATCTGTCGAGAACTGCTTTGTTTCTAAAAATGAGGTCAATTTTGGAGAAAGCACCATGAGGTACAGAGAAGAAGACATATTCTTTGGTGTTTGGGTGAAATGTTCTGAAAACATCTGTTAGGTCTATTTTGTTTACAGCATCTGGTATCGACACTATTTCTCTGTTTAGGTTTTGACTGCATGGCCTGTCCATTGGTGAGTGTGGGGTACTGAAGTCTCCCACTATCAATGTGTGGGGCTCAATATATGAATTTTAAAATACTGGGTTCTTTTACAATCATGAGTTACTTTGTGTTGGAGAAGAGATTTTAAGAATTGAAATGTTATCTTGGTTGATTTTTTTTTTACTTTGATGAGTATGTATTGTTCTTCCCCTAAGAGCTTTGTTTAGTGGTTTGAAGTCTATTGTATCAGATATTAAAATGGCTACTGAAACTTGCTTCTTAAGTTCATTTTCTTGAAATATCTTTTTCCAATTCTTTACCATGAGTTTATATCTGTATTAATGTTGAGGTGAATTTTG